CAAAATCAACCGGATTGACCCAAATCGATTCATTGTTCGTCTTTACCAAAATCTCGTTTCATAATTTTTATTCTCCCATTTCAATTTTTTGTTTTTGAAACCATATTCTTTACACCTAATCTTTTCTACTATTATGATGATTTTATTGTTCTCCTTGATTTGCGATTCATTCTGTTAAATTTGTCATGTTCTGATATAGTACAGTAACTAAGGCTATTGTATATTTATATCAGGTTTTATGAGGACTGGTCGTCATGTGTTAGAAAATACACAAAACTTAATGTCAAATTATACAACAACAAAAAAACATTCGTTTACAGTACAATCTACTATTACTAATTGACTTTGATAACGGTAATTCATTTCAGTCCCTATACTTATTTATTCTGTTGATAATTGTTAGTCTTATCTTACTAGGTAGGTTCACGCTCTCTGAATTAATTAAGCCTGTAAAATAGTAGAAACTAATTGACAGATAACGTATATAGTATATTGTCGAATATCCCATTCAGTATTTATTATGTAAATTATAGACAACTTATTAGTCAGTCTCTTGTCATTGTTTTTTTTCTCAGTATTAAAAAATGTATGGAAAATTGAATATAAGTAGTTTATATAAGAGATTCTATAAATTTTCACTCTGTTTTGGGTTATCATTAAATTTAAGTTGGAATTATGTTCATAGTAACGTTATTTAATTAAAATCATGGAGAAGATTTGTAGCTCATGTGGATGATTTTGATGAAGTTTTGTTTTCTGATCTGGATGGTCACGACCTAATCATCTAGCTCAGAGAACAAAACTTCATCAAAATCATCCACCTGAGCTACAAATCTTCACCATCTCAAAATCATATGAGCGTAGTACACTTCTGGTTGTTCGAAAATGAGAGAATTTCGCCGAATGGTAGGCTTCCACTCGAGAACAACTGTATTTTCTCCACGAGTGTCTTCGTCAGCATGTTCTGCCAACAAGTGTAAGATATAGACCTCCAATCAACTGCCCATTGGGATGGATAATAGCTGAGCAAAGTGGAAGAAAAATGGTACACCTTATGGTAACAGATACACATTACAGGCTCCGTAAATACCAACACGTCATAGAGGACCAAAAGATGAAGCTACAAAGGACACTCACGTCATAACACTTGGAAATCTTGACAACAGCTATAGAAATATCATACAAATGGCACAGAGAGCAGAGAAGAAACACCTTAAACACGACCAAACTATCCAGCTCAGTAAACAAAACTCCATCAAAATTAAAGTCAGTTCAATACAAATTAGTCTGTGATATCAATTATCAAATCAAATGACATTATTTGCATATTATAAGATTAGAAATTCATTTATTTATTCGTACGTAATATACTAGTTAAATGTTGGAATTATTGAGTTATTCAAAGTTTATCTTAATTGTTTTTTAAATGTCATATTTTACCTAGTCTTAACGTGAAATAAAAGAAAAATACAGTTTTCAGTTTGATGAAGGTTTTTTTTGACAAAGAACTTCTGAGTAAAAATTATGTTTTTGATTGAGTATATAGAGCTGTTAGGTCCCAATAAGCATAATGAATGGTAACTTTGGAATCCTTTTATGAACCAATACTAAACGTATATTTTTATCGTATAATTGTTAAATAACTAAACTATTCATATTCATATTCCTCTTATTATAAACTTCATTTTGACCTATGAATCATTATTATACGTTTCACCATTCTTGAATTACGCCCTGTCTATTAGTCAATACCTCCCACATTCACAACCACGTTTGGCTAATTCTTGTACAAATGTTGTTTCATATTTTATTGGTACGATGTGGTCTGTCTGGTTGGCATATAAATCCAGTATGTTTGAAATACATGATTCATATTACAGAGGCTGAGATTGGTGTTCTGGACTTAACTGACTGAGCTAGGCGGAAAGCAGGACCAATTAGGACTCTAGGTTGCTCGCACGTGTTTCACGCGTCCTTGGTCCGATCGATAGTTTGCTGCTTCTGATTGGCGGCTTTGGGCCATAACAAGAGCAGAAATGACCAGATTAATTTATGCAAGTCCCACTCACTACCTTCTCATGGCGGTGTTGTTTACGAAATTGTGAGGAAGAAAAGTGAATGTCCTGCGTTTTAACCGGGTTGGTGGACATAAAGGATTTACCTAGGGGAGTTGGAAATTTCTGATTCCAAACTAATGGTGCATATGGGCTCCAGTTTCCTAAAAGAGCAAATGGCGTATGAACCAATTGTTGGTCAACGGCTACCATGGGACCTCATCTCCTGACGATTCTCCACTGCCTTGTGGATCAGATCTTTAGGTCGAAGGTTTCGGGTGTTGCCCCATAAGAAAACCGACTGCTTCGGTCTGGACACCCGGGCAGTAGCATAGCCTAAACACAAATCAAATGACTTGTGTGGCGCATGTGTATTCAGTGCCCTATTGTACCAATATTTATGCGTTCAAACAAATAAATAAAATAACTTATGCCATCGCGATTCCTTGAAAAATTGATATTTTATGTAGACAGGTCATGTAGAACAGATTCTAATTAAAATAGCTAACTATGAATTATCATGACATCAAATTTTTATGAAATATAAATGAATAAATAACCTGTTTGTTCAGTGACATGCACTGAAAGATTAATTTGTAATTGTTTACAAATTTGTGCATTACCTTGAGATACCTGCTTTAGGTATAAATAAATGATATGGATTTGTGGTCCGACATCAGATTTCTGATCTATAATATCAATCAGGGTAATAAAATCACACTAGTGGTAATAAAAATATTGAAAATTCCATTAATTAATATCTAATTTAAGAGTACAATACAGAATCGTCATTCCGATTCTGGAAATCATGCATTTATTATTATTATCCTTTAAAATAGTATACAGTATTTGAAATATGTTTGAATATGTGTACTTACCTATAGGTTGTGGGGTGCTTTTTTCAACTTTTGGCTCCAGTTTCGATGGTTGTTGTGTAGAAGCTAGTTGTGATGGTGGCGGCGGTGTTTGATGTCTTGGCTTATTTGCAGTTAGTTTGCTCGTTGGATTTGCATCTTTCTGAGCAGGTGCTTTTTTAACAGCAGCAGCAGTATTAGTTGAAGGTGTAGTTGTTGACGATGGTTGTATGGGTGGTGAATGTGAATGGATATTTAATGTCGATGACAAAGTGTCTCGATTTCTACGGAAATAATATTCACTTGGTAATTTAAGTAGGTCAATATAATCACTGTCACACATTCCTTCACCAGTAATGGGATTTCGAAGAACTAAAAAAAATAAAATTAGTTCCATGGTTTAATTAACCAATTTGAAATAGCGAATATTATATGTCATGAACAACGAATTTATACTCTTTATATTTTCTGTTGAATTAGCTTAGTTAATCATTTTATCTCATTTATAATAGATTGTTAAAATATGTCGTTAAAGATTTTACAATGTATATATACTGTAGGTTATTTCCATAATGGATTTTTTGTGTCAAGCATAATACTTCTATTGGTAAAGTTGAATAGTGACTAGCTGGAGAGTCAAGGACAAGCGTTTCGTTCTATCCGATACTCATCCACTGGGTGTATCTAGATTTGAGTCTTGGTAACATACTAAGACGTAAACTCAGAACCATTATATTTAAACAGTAACGTGTTATTCTTTCAGCTGCTGAGTTCAGATGACCACTAGCTTGTGTAACGTGTGTGACTTTGCTAGGATTTGTATTTTGTCGTCTGTTGGTGTTAGGAACTACAATCTTTTGGTTCCTATTGAGATATGTGCATTTTGAGCGAATTTCCCTGATATCATTTAGTTACAAATACTTAACAAAATAGGATGGTGACTAGCAGTGAGGTTCAGGAAAAGTATTTTGTCCTATTTGAGATTTATCAGCCGAATGTATATACATCTCAGTATTGCTGTTCGCGTTGTGACTCCACAACATCAATAATGAAAAAGTACAAAGGCTTACAAATATTTGACGTAGCGCATCGAAATGGCGGATCCCTAGCGCACAACTGATGATTTACATTGTTTTAAATATATGAATGAGATTTGGCTAAATTTATTGTAGTTATGAAGTCGTTTATTAAATTTAGCAATATCGTTTTCAGAAGTAACGGTGTCAGTGCTATCTTAAGACTAATTGTACTGCAACTAAACACAAATTGTTGAAACTCGCTGACTAATTTGATGTTCCAAAAACCCAGACTATGAACTCTTTTTAACAGTTAATGCCAAAAATGCTTTCAAAACTGAAAAAAATACTTAATTGATACACCGTAACTTTACAAAACTGATTTCACTCATAGACATGTCTGATGATAAGTAGAAAGAGTACTATGAATTTTGTTAATGTACGAATATTTTATAATGTGTTCATGTAATCAACTTCCACAGTATTTCAAATATTTAGATGTGCAGAATTTTATTATACGTCGTTCTGAGACTTTAGATTTAGCTATTTATTAGTCAAATGTTCTTATTTGATTGAAAGATTATAAATCATTTGCTTAAAATGTTTCCTATTGTGTCGAAACACTGACATCAAGTGAAAATAACTAACTAGAAATAAGGAAAATTACTTAATTTTATATAAAAGAAATCTCAATCGTGTTATAGAATAGATAGATTGTGGCTCGAATTAAAACACAGGAAGCATATTTTGTCCTATTTGGAACTCGTCAACTAACAATTTACCTGTACCATAGTATTGAATTTCACACTGAGACTCGCCTCGAATTTCGAACGTATAGTCTACTGAGGTACCAATCCTTAGTTTGTCCAATGGGTATAAAATTTACTTTTAGGGGTTTGAATTATCCTGTTGTTGTAGTGACTGGTCACCTAGATGTATCCGCGACAACAATGGGATAGTTCAAGCCCTCACAAAGTAAAAAATTGTGTTAGTTTACTAAAAATACTTCTAATAACATAGTTTTGCAGCTGCGATTAACATACCCTTTCGTAATTTTCTATTTTCTGAAACTACAGACGCATTGCCCATAGTCACATCATTAAAATCTCCGATTGTCGATGTTTCATCGTTCAGTCCAATTGGTGATTGATCGGAAGATATATTTTTCTGTTGATGTGTAATTGGATTGGTATTCGCTGAATCGATAAATTCGAATACGGAAAATATTCATTTTATATGAGACAATTGTTATATTATTTTGAATTAGTCGTTATACAATGTTAGGTATCAATAGAGCACAGAAAAGTGGCAGCACCTTGGATTAAGCGGCGGCTTGGAATAGAATGCATATGTTAAAACCATATAATTCAAGTAAAATTTTAGAATTTATTAACCAGATTGACGTTTCAACCTGGAATTTCATGCTTACTGTAATCATAGATGATCAGTGCCATGAGAACTCCCTATGTTCGATTATTTACAACTAACGCTTGTCTCCTCATTTCATGATGTTATTCACTTTTCTAACCTTACTTTCAATCATCACTTACTTAAAATACCCGAATCACAGGAAACTGATAAACACTGATAAGCTGTTTCACTATAGTCTAGGACTCCTAATCAATACACATATATAACTTCAAATAGAGCAGGTGTCCGTAGACCACCTAACTGACTATTATTTGTAATTATGTGTTTCACGATTAACAGCCTCTAGATGGATTTATCTTGTGAGAATTTGCGACCTATGGAATTAACTCATTCACAAGTTGGAAAACATATAAACGAATTGTTTAAAGTTGAAAATGTTATACCGTGTTCAACATCAACTATGAAGGTGTTTGTTTTGATTCCAATTTAACGGATGCCACTTCAATAGTAAAAACTGGACATGCTTCCAGGAACCACCTGACTGAACAATGTAAATGACTATAGTTATCTTAATTTTTGTCTCATAAACTTTCTATGGTTTGTTAGTTATTAGCAAAATTATTCATAAAGCATTACCATCAAGAAATGATAACTGGAGCAGAAAGAAAACATTCAGGATTATTTTAAAAAATGTATATGTTAGTCTTTACTATATCGAAACACAAAAATAGGATTTTCAACCACAGCTTTTCTCATCCCAATCCGTGTAAGTTCGAATTTATAGACTTCATATTTCTAAACAGGTTCTTGATAAACTAGACTATAAGGCTTTAATAAAACAATGACAAATTAACAGTCATCTAACTATTGAATTATCATTGATTTCATCCATGAAATAAATCCATCTAATCTTTTCGTGAGTAACTTCATGAGATACTCCTGGCGTTCTAGTGATAGACCATTATCAGTGGAGTTCAACCAGGTCTGTTTTGAGATATCAACTCACTGAAGACAATGGTGTACGGTGGCGCAACTTCGTGGATTGGTTGAAGTTGGACATTAACACCGTTGGATGCCGGCTCAATGATCGCGAGACTGATATGTCTTGGGTTCGAGTCTCGCGGGGTGCGGGATCGTGGGTGCGCAATACTGTAGGGTCCCATACTGGGACCAAACGGCCGGCCAGTGCTTACAGGTTTTCCATTTTCGTCCAGCTTCAATTGACTCATGATTTCAACTAATGAAATTTCTAAAAAATCTCCACAAATCCCCTTCTGATAATCTTATTGTGATTATGTAATTGTTCATATTCTAAGTTCAGTTAACAAATCAAGCATTCATTGAGTTCTTTTCTTTTTCACACAAAATAATTATTTACCGGATAAGGATAAAATCATCAAAATGAAAAGAAACCATCAATTTAAAAGTTTATACAAGATAATATATATTTCTTATTCATATTTGTCTCTATGTCTCGATTATAGTTCATGTTATTGATACCAATGTTAGTTCAAGGTTAGTCAGAGTATACAGATTGATTTATCAATATACCATTGTTTGCAAATTCAGTTTATTTCGTTTTTAATATAATGTGATAATTCCAGCCAACTATGTTTTTCACATTCACCATACGAATGATGATCAATAAATGGTTTTTCATATTTTATGTTTACTTCTCTAGACTGTATTTTTTAATTAGGTCGTTATGTTTACTTGGTTTGAACTAATCGATTAGATTTCATAGTATACAACACAGATTGATCTTAATTAAATAACCATTGAAAACTATGAAACACTAAAAAGCTACTTTGTCTTAGTACGGAACTCCTTAGCGATGCACATCTATGACTCCACCGGGTATCTAACCGAAACTTTTCAAATTTGCGTCGAACTCTTAGCATTCAAACGTTTGAGTCGTTAATGATTAACGGTCTTAAATGCTAATAAAATTAAAGTGGTAAACTTTGTCGATACAGACGTTCTATTTAAATTTCTCAGTAGATATTTGTTCATAGTATGAAGCCGTGAGTTATTAGTTAAATCACTCGATCTTCATTTAACACGTATTAAGGTTGAACCTCTCTCCAGTGGCACCGCTATTTGTTGTATAGACAACTGAGTAAACAGTGTCTGTACTTGATAAATGAACTAAAATATCTGTTAATAATGAGATTTAAAGAATTATTTAAAATCCAACCGATGTATTCTTCGTATGGCCGTTTAACGAATAATGCGAAAAAAGAAGACTAATTCAGTCCATAATTGATTCCATTTAAATTTGATATTATTATACATAATAGCTATGAATAGTCTTGACATATAATAATAGAGCTCATACAGTGGTTATAATCACTAGTACTAACTGTCAGTGAATCTACATCTACAGATTTATAATAATTATCTTTAAACAAATTATAGTCAGTATGATATCTAGTCTGTTTAAGCAATTGTCACATGGAGACTTTGTCGATAGAATTTGATTATCACTAAGTCATCATTTAAGGATCAATGAATAAGAATGTTAGAATGAAATATTATAAAGATTGATTTAAATAATATGAAATGTGAAAATTTTAGTTTAACCCATTTTTGATGGGTTATCATGGTTTAAAATGTTTGTTAATAGATAAAGAAAAGTTAGTGTTTTATGCTAAAATGACTTGATTAATATAATATATTAATATAATTAAGATAAGGTGGGGTAAAATACAAAGACGTGTATGTACAATTACAGATATATACATATATCAGAATGGGTTTTGTGGAGATTTTAGAAATTTCACAGATTGAAATCATGAGTCAGTTGAAGCTAGACCACCATTAAAAACCTGGAAGCACTGAACGGCCGTTTCGTCCTAGTATGGGACTCCTCAGCAGTGCGCATCCACGACCCCGCACCACCCGGGGCTCGAACCCAGGACCTACTGGCTTCGCGCGCGAGCACTTAACCATTAGACCACTGAGCCGGCATCCAACGGTGTTAATGTCTAACTTCAACCAATCCACGAAGTTGCGCTACCGTACACCATTGTCTTCAGTGAGTTCCTATCTCACAACAGACCTGGTTGAACTCCACTGGTAACGACTTCTCACTAGAACTCCAGAAGTGTCTCCTGAAGTCAGTCACTAGTGAGCAGGTGATTATTATTATCAGAATGGGTTTTGTGGAGATTTTAGAAATTTCACAGATTGAAATCACCAGGTTTTCCATGGTGGTCTAGCTTCAACTGACTCATGATTTCAATCTGTGAAATATACATATATATCACAAGGGTTAAGGCATTAACAGATTATATCTTTCTCTAATTAGAGGTACTTGTTAATCCTCCACTTATCGTTCTAGTCAGTTATGAATTAAGGTGATCATAAGAATCTATTTGTTTTCTAGAGTAATACTTTTTTTTGTAATTCACATTTACTTGGTTTGTGAACTTATGATTTTTAACAAGTCACGTAAACTGAATTAAACATCTTTTTCACTAGAGCATCATAGTTTAAAAAATAGGTAGTTCTTGATTACTAAACGTACGTGTTTAATTAACATTTACATTCATACATAAATTTATGGTTATCTAGTCACTAGATATACAATCTACATAGACCATCACTGAAATTAGTGAACCGTTTGTCGATAATTGAGACTACGAATCGATTAAATTTAGATAGCCTTTGAAAACCACAAAGACCTGGTGTAGGACTCTTCTGAAATGTTCATCCATGACTATCAAGGATCAAACCTGGAACCTTCAGGTCTCGTGAAGAGAGCTTAAAATTAGGATCACTGAACCGGGATCGAATAGTTTTCATATCTAACCACAATCAATTCTGGACATTATCGCGAGACCTGAAGGTCCTGGGTTTGGTCCGTGATGCGGTCGTGCATGTGCATTGGTGGGTTCCATATTGGAATGAAACAAATGTTTAATGTTTTCTGGTTTTCAATTGAGTTGACACGTCATTATTTCATACTTAGTGTTTGATAGTTTAAATTTCTACCAAGAGAAATACACCATTTAGTAAGTAACAACCTAAGAGTTTCTTTATATACATTTATTTATTCATTTCTTACTTCCATTTGTAACTTTACATAAAATTACAATTGAAAGCTGGATACATACACAAAAGTGTACTTTATAAATGAATTACATTGAAAATCAATTTGTCTACGTAATGCACTTAAGAATGATAAAAGTTTTATTGAAACTAGATTAGTTTTGTATATGGTACACCTATTGATTATCTAATTGAATTGTATAATAACTTTATAATTAATCATTTGTGGATCAGTTTTCTGACTTTTTATTGATTTACAATTTGTAACAATAAATATTTCTGTTATTTTTGAGGTCACTCTTCTGTTTCTTGGTAAAGAATTTTGATGATAACTATAGTGATAATCATTCGTTTAATTACAATTTTTTTTAATTTTTGTACTAACCAAAATGAAATTGATTTTTAGTCATTATAATCATTACAAATTGTCGAGATGTATTGTGTAATTGATAGGGACCCTAATGTTTCTTGGTGATTGTGATTCAAAATTCTTACTTAATTGTTCGATTTTCTATAGATACAGAAGCAGTAAATATGTGATGTTTATTATATCACTAGTTAAGTGCAGTTGAAAAGTATGTACCACTGGGTTCTAACTCAGAGTTAGTGATGACACTTTTTTAAATCACTTGTTAATTGGTGAACGCACATTTATAAGAAATTCAAAACCAAGATGACAAAGTAGTTCACTGCTGTCTAGTTTTCTCTGGCACCCAAGCTTATTTTAGTCTGTAATGGAAGGCAGCTTTAAAAATGTTTTGAACTAGAATCCTCTGGTCTCTTTTTCTAGATGACTCACCATACGTGGTTGTTAATTAGATCTTACGTCAACTTTAGTGTATAAACCTGGTCGTTAGTGAAATCTTGTTCTAACGAATATAATGATCTTCACGTAATCTTATTTCAGTGAACTGACTTATGAAAGTTAGAACAAAGCTTGAGTAGTAGCGTATATATATATATATATATATATATATATATATATATATATATATATCAGAAGGGTTTTTGTGGAGATTTTTTAGAAATTTCATTAGTTGAAAACATGAGTCAATTAAAGCTAGACGAACATGGAAAATTTGGAAGCACTGGATGACCGTTTCGTCCCAGTATGGGACTCCTCAGTAGTGCACATCCACGATCCCGCACCCCGCGAGATTCAAAACCAGACCTATTGCATTTGGAGTAATCCTGGGAATAATACACTAGTCAACAGCTAATAAGTGGTATTGTAACAGTAGAGAGTAAACAGAAGGTTGACTTAATGATTTTATTCACTAAAAGAAATCCGAATGGTGAATCAACAATCGAACTATTTTTCAAAAAAGTGCCTTTTTATCGACACAACAGAGACCTCTTAAAATAATTTTTAGATTACTCCTAAGATATATGAATGTTCCACATAACAACTGTTAGTTTAATTTTTATGGAGATTTTAATTTAAGCTAATTGTTTATGTATGATAGTTGGAATTATTTAAATTCATACTACTCATAATGTAAAATTAGCATATTTGTTAATTAACAACAGTTTCTCAAAAGATAAAAAAAACTGGGAAAATGATCAACTGATGAGGTTTAAATGTTAGATTAAGTCAGAAATAAATGATCTTTCTACATAAGTTTGATGTCACTAGTGACACTTTTCTCATTCTGTAGGAAACGATACGAAAGTTGGCTTGTTTTACAAATTTCTTATGATGTCTATTTAAATAATTATTATAAATGATGATTAGGAAATGCACCAAAAGCAAATTTATTTTTACTTGGAGTATATAACAGGAAATATATACTGGAAGTACTTAGTGGTGATTTTCACTATTTTTCAAGGGGGAATATCATAGTCAAGTGGTTGAATTTAGCATTTATTCATGTAAACATTCGGATTTTAAACAGAACTGGTTAACTAAATATGAGAGCTTTTACAAGGCAAAGATGAAATACTGACATTGGCTTTTTGGTTAGCTTTAGTTCTGAACTGAATTTCTTAAACAAACCTCTAAGGGTATTGAATTTAGATATTGAGGCAGTGCATGTCGGTTGGGGACGATGCTGCTGCCGATGATGATTAGTTGATAATCGATGAGTCACGGGATCTATAGAAAATAGTAAATTGTAGTTTATATAACTGTTTAAAATCAATGTAATACTTGAAGA